CAAGAGGTGGGAAGAGTAATGCACGCTGTAAAAGCGGCGAGGCAAGGCCAGAATTGGCTGAGATGTTAGTGGTGGCGTGTGTGAGGAGGTGATGCCAAAGTAAAGTGCTTGGCTGCTAACAGAAACCCACCAGCGGCTCTGCAGGATGAGGTGGTGGTGCTCTGCTCCTACAATGACGAACGCCTCGAAAACCCCATGGTGGTGGCTCTATGCTGTGTGACATAAGGCTACTCTGAGCCAAACATGCTCAATGGCACACAGCAAAGATGACTCCTAGGCTTACTGTCTGAGCAATGGGGTAGACTCTGGTCTAATTGGTCGAGGAAAGCAGAACCAGATCCTTGAATAGCCGGTTTAGAACAAAGCGGTAGCAAATGTAAATGCCCCCATAAGCCATAAATGGGTGATGCAAAAGGGTGTAAAGAAGTAGAACATAAAACTGGAAACGGATGCTCAGGCTGCAGGCATTCAGATGGAAAGATTTCTTTTTTTTAAACACTGAGCTGCGAAAACAAAGTTACATCTGCAATAGTGAGCACTTCCTGCTTGAAGGCAGAAAAAAGGCCGCCACGGTCTCTGGAACGATGAGGCAAGCCCAGATAGGCAGGAGTAAATCGACCAGGCATGCTAAGGGACTTAGAATGATTGTACGGTTCCAATATAGGGGTGGGGACCATCAAGCACAGCTGGGGAAACACTAGAAGACAGGAGTAAAGAGTATGAAGTGCTCTCTGAAGTATTAAAAGCTGTATTATACAGACAGTATGTATATATTAAAGATAATGTAGAAATAGTATCACAAATGGATCAATGAAATACAAAAATACAAAACCAAACATATATATGCTAATTCAGTAAATGAATAAAGCCTTTCAAAATGTGACAATATATTTTTAAAATATTGTTTTGGTACCAATTTGTACAACACTGCTTGATATGATTGAACTATGGAATGGTATAATGTCTGCATTAGCTCCTAATAAAATGGTTTGAGAAAAAGAAATGTACTGGGAAAACTTTATAGAGGTCACATGATCATGTGTTCCTGGAAATAAACTACGGACAAATGTGTGTAACGTTTAAGTAATATGTGTTGGTTTCTTCGATAAAGCAAATTAGATTTTTTTAATTAATGAAACAAGAAGCAAGCCATTTGGGTTACCGGGGGTGGGGTGGGGTGGGGGGCTGCATGATCCAAACCTCGCTGCGTGTATTAATATAAACTCTTTTAATACAAAAGTAAAACAATCAAACCACGTAAGTAATAAAGGAAATATATATGAGTGGTTTTATCTTGTGTAGGAAAGTCTTTCTTTTTAAAAAATTTTATTTAATCATTTTATTGGGGACTCGTACAACTCTTATCACAATCCATAAAGTCTTTCTAACCATAAGCCCTATGCGCCTATGCCTATGTATTGTAAGTATCTGTATGGGTCTGAATATATCCACATGCATTTTTTACACATTTGAGATCCAAAATCTCCAGGAATTATGCAATAGATAATTTTAGTACTTCAAAGTCAATTTCTTTCTCTTAGGACAAAAACAAGAGCAAATACCTATTTCTCCTCTATTTTTGTTACAAAAACTACAAAAGCAGCCACCCCTGATTGTTCCTTCCTTACATTTTGGGGTACTATAAGTCACTGTATGCCTGGAGCAGGACTGACACAGGTCGGATGTCCAAATGTAATGATTAATAGTATCCATTAAGAGTACTCTTTCCCAAAGTGCCCTATCAGGCCGATAAATAAATTATAATCTCATTGAGTTAATAACCAATTGCTGAACATATCTCCAAGTCCTTCAACTGATTTCCTAATTTCTCATCTGAAAGAAGACCACAACCTCCCTTTCATGTAATTATCTCCTAGATGTGCCTTTTTGCACATGCTCTCGGCTCCTGGCAAAGCCTTCTCCCATTTTCCAATTCATAAACACCAATCTGGGAACTCAGATTATTAAATGGCATCTGCACTGTGAAATCTTCCCAGGCATTTTCTCTTCTAGGCCTCCTAAAGCAACACTAATTATAAAACTAATAACAGCCAAATTTATTGAACGCTCAGCAGGCACCAGGCACTGAGCTTAAGCAGTTTTAAGTATTTGGTTTCATTTACTCATTTTAATAACTTTAAATGGCAGGGTTCCCTTTTCCGCATTCTTTAAATGTAGAAACAGGCTCTGGGAGAGAAAACAATTTGGCTAAGTTACAAAACTGAACAGTGGAACTGGGACTCGAAAGCAGGTACGTAACTCCAAGGCAAAGCTCACAGCCATGTACTATTTAGCCTGTGTTGTCACTAGCAGGGTTCTGCCATTTGCTACATTTCAGTCTGTGCTGTAACTCTGCCTCCCTCTTAATCAACTCTGTGCTTTTTAACTCTTCGTACACACTTCAAAGGAGGAATGCCACATATGAGCAGAGCCCTTGGTCTGTCTTCCTTAATGTGATTACAACTTCCCCAGGGACAAGGAAAAAGAGCTTTGCTGCCCACGGCATATGTAACTGTGCCTGACCCAAAGTGAGTTCTCCATGAGACCAAAAGGCACTACAATCATTACTATTCAGTCTAAAATTCTCGTGCATAGGATTGTCTTATCTTCAGTTTTTCCAACCAGAAGATGGTTCAAGATTTCTTGGCATTAGAATTTGCCAATGTCTAGAAACAGCAAAAGTTCATAGGCTAAATTGTTTCATTTTAAATAGTGGACATTGTGCCATTTACTAGTGAAATTAGCTGCCAAAGTTGAAAATATGCAGGGTTTTCACATAAATAAAGATTTCTACTTCCTTTGAAATAACAGGTCAACATTTTTACATAAAGCAGGCAACAAGGCCCTCCTGTCACTCAACAATCTACACCACTCTAAGATTTACTGGGAAATGCGGCAAGAGTCCATGCGATCATCGGACTTGTCTGTTTTTGTTTTGTTTTGTTTTTAACAAAGGGAAAATGAAGTCTTTCCAGTGCCTAGGTCTTTATTAAAAATGTGCCTGTTCATTCCATGCAATTGGAAAGACAAAAGATTAGAATATGTGGATTTCAATGCAAATCCCAGAATAAAATAAACTTACCCTTCATGGGTAATACCACACCTCAAAATGAGCTACCAACCTGATGGCTTTTAACATCTGAAAGTAAATAGTCAGTGTATGCTTTATGACTACAAAGACACACATACACTCATAGTCAGGCCCATGGTGCCTGGGGAAAGACAGAGAGCACAAGGATGTCTGGGACTAAGAATCCAGGTAAACCAGATTAAAAAATCAACAATCTCTAAGAGGAATTTAAATGCAAAAAGGCATACTAACACAAGTTTGTGTTGAGAATTTAAACACAAATCAACAAAGGGCTGTCAACAATACAGTTTGATGATAACCTTATTTTAATTAATGTCTAAAAAATTTAGAGCAAATTTGCCTACATTGAGCAACCAGTCCTAATTGTTTTTGCCATACCACACCTATATCTAAACACAGCACATGAGCAGAAAATGTAAATTTGCAAATTTAGCTTGTCCCATACTCACTTACAGAGAAGAGACTAATTGTAAAGAGAAAGATTGGGGTTTGGGGGGAGAAAGCGAGACCAGGGAATAGTGAAGAGTTGTGTACTTCAATTAATATGACCTTAAAACTCATCTATCTAGCTGGCCACATATTCTACCCTTCAGGATGCTGGAAGAAATATTTAGATACATGTCAGGTATTTTTTATTATTTCTAAGTGAAAAACAAATGAGAAAACATTACAACAAAGAACCAGCTTACTCAAAATTCACAGATTTTCATGAGATTCTAAACTCAGCCAGTTATTTTAAACCTCCATCACTGAGGGCATTTTTAAAAGAAAACAAACTATCACTCAAGGCAATCACTCTGGAGTGCCTTAGATCGATCATCCATACACTTATTTGCTAACTGGACTCTGATGAATTGCTCACCATCTAGTCACCAACGAGGGAACAAAACAGTTTCCTATTCTTAAAATGACTTTCCTTTAAACTGCTATATGCTGGACTTACACTTTAGCTACTTTTTAAAGATTTAAAAATCACTTATTTCCTATGAATCACTTACTAAAATTTACAATTACCTAGTTATGACACAAAAACCCTACCTACAGCACTTACTATCAAATGTTGGAAACCCCGTTCCCTATATCTGACTCATTCACTGCGACAGCTGATTCCGACTCATCATGATGACCCATGATGGCAGTTAGCCAACACTTTACAGGAGTAGAAAATTCTCCCAAAGAGTTGCTGGTGGTTTTGAACTGCTGGCCTTGTGATTAGCAGCCTAAGTCATAATCCACTATGCCACTTAGGTTCCTTTCCTACTAAAGTTTACTAAATTCCAGCTCCTCTTGGAACGTATTAATTTCTGAAGACAAGTACGTGAGCTCTCAAAAGAATGTGATAACCACATGCCTCACCACGCATAAAAAGATGCTGAACTGATAGAACTTAACTACTTAGCTACCCTTGTGAATAATTAAAGGAGGTACTTTTCGTTCAAGTAACTCATTCACTTATCCAGCCCCAAAGGGTAGAAGCTGTATCTATAATACACCGTCTGTGCTAAGTAACAGGCGGTCATTTCAAAGAACACTGTTTCATAAAAATGCTTGCATTAACAAAGCCTGCAGTATTTAATTCCTAAGACTCCACAGGAAAGCATAAAAATCTCATTGAATGATGACTTTCCATAGGAATGTAGTTCTTTTTGGTATCACACAATAGTTCATCAGGAAGAGTGGCAGCAGCTGTGTTCTGAACATGACAACAATATACAGATTACCCCCCAAAATTGGGAGATGTCATGATTGGCGGAAAAGAAATCATGCTTATATGCCTTTTAGATATTCGAGGCTATGAGACAACTAGTGGGAACAGGAAGTACAGAAAGCGGCTCTAGAAAAGAAAGAGTTCAGTAGAGGTTATTGAACACATTTACACCATCATCTGTCACTGCTTGCTCTGGCTTACCTGAGGAGGTGTAGGTGTGGATGTAGGTCTTCCTATCGGAGGAGTTGGATTTCTGCTGCCACCTCCAGACATAATCTCTTCTGTTATGTCTTTACCTCCTTGGTTTGGATCTCGAATTCTAATCTATAAGGTTAAAATAAAATGGCATCTGTGTAGGTAGTAGATTTATAAGCATGTCATGTATTAAAGTTGTAAACTGGGAAGTCTATCAAGTATCAAAGCTTGATGGTCACCAGATTGATTGTTTCCATCTCAGAACCATATGAGGTCACCCAGAGAGATCTAGGCCATAGGAATAAGTAGTTAAAATAGTTCCTGGTTTGGTCAATTTCTAGATAAAAAAGGTAAAAGCATCCATGCTTATGTATAAAACTCACAACCGAACTTACTGTCACTGAGTCCATTTTGACTCCTAGTGACCCTATAGGACAGAGTAGAACTGCCCTAATGGGTTTCTGAGACTCTAATTCTTTGTGGGAGTAGAAAGCCTTCTCTTTCTCCCACAGGGCAGCTGCTCTGTGGTTTTGAATTTCTGACCTTGAAGTTAGCAGACTAACATGTAACCACTATGCCACCAGGGCTCTACACTATCAAATAAACTGATTTTGTTTACATTGTTTAATAAGACATGGCTGATAAAATAGTTTTAATATGTAGATGTTCTATAAAGCTCTAAATTACCTAAGTAGTTCAGTTCTCTGAGGTTCTTTAAAACGATTAAAAAAAGATGCACATCTCTATGGCAAATAACCATTTGAGGATGTAAGAACATAAGGATGATCACTGCAGTCACTGCAGTAGCCAATGAACACATCCTAAAGGTCCACCAAGATGAGAATAGTTAAAAAATTATGCTACTTCCTTGAAATTAAATACCAGCAGAAAGAAGGAAGTAGGTCTCTAAGTACTGATATGGAATGATCTTCAAGATGTATACAGTAAGTGAAAAGATGCAAGATATAGAAAGGTGTGCAAGGTCTTATTTTCACTTCTTTCAAAGAATGGTGCTGCAATGGAGATGGAGTGCCTGGGTCTAAGCCTTCTGTGCTGGGACGGTGCTGATACATGAAAAGCCCACTTGGCTTGCTCGTTACTACTTCCTCCCAGGGCTTATCCAAGCTCTGATTTCTTAAAAATCCCAAAGAATTCACTAATAAAATCTCTGGAAATGGAAGGTTATTTTTCAGTAAGATTTAAATCTCAATCCTTTCTCTGGTATGCAAACAGGTTTCTACTACAGTTTTATATATTGTTGATAATTTACTTGTTCCACTTTCTTCTTTAGCAGTATCTGTTATTACTGTCTTCCATCTTCATTAACTTTAATTTTTTCCTTTATTCTGAGAATGCTCTTCCAACCTACCTTTGACTATACAGATGCAATATTTTCTCAAAGGCAGTGTAATAATATATGGCATGGCCTTGTTATTATGAACTGTACACAAGTAATTTGTTTCTAATAACGAAGTACCAAAAGTTTGTAAATCTCTTTCATTTTTTTTAACAAAATGAAAAGTTTCAAAGCTGTTGTTATAAAATCACTTTGTAATCTAAAAGACTGCAAACGACTACAGAAAGTTTTGCAATATGAATTATATATTACTCATTCTTATTGTCTTGGGCCTGCTTATTAGATAAAAGTGATGTTGATAGTTTCTTAAAATAAATCTATTTCACAAGAAGAATTTCTCGTCTTTAATAATTTGCACGTTTGATCTTTGCTGCTGCTCCCCCGTGAGTTCAGAGATGGATAGTCAGCTGATCAAGAGTGGTGTAAAAAGATAACATGTAAGAGTTGAGCACAGGGGGAAAAATGGAAAATTAGAGGCTAGCGAATTTTGGGAATGATGAGGGCAACAAATGTATAGATGTGCTTTACACAATTGATCTATGTATTGTGATGAATTGTATGAGCCCCAATAAAAAAAAAAAAAAAGAGTTGAGCACAAATTCTTCCCATTGAGTGGGAACTTTAGAAATTGCATTCTTCCAGTTCGAAAGCTGTATGGCATATGTTGTTATGTAGATGTTGAAAGCTGATACCAAGTAAATTGCACTTGGACTTTTTAGTTCTATGCTTATAGAAATCCTCCAGGTCTAATGGTGAGGGTATAAGGAAGGGATGAAAATGGCACGATTACTTGTGAACAGAAGGACCAATGATTTTAGCTTTGGGTAAATATATTTGTCAGGTGAACGAACTCTCAATCAATTCATAAAAAGATTTAAAGATCTTACTGTTTTTTTCTCTCTCTTGGCTGGAGGGTGCTGCTGCTGCGTAGGCACTATGATAGGTGCTGACTGATACACTGGCTGACTTGGGTAAAAAGGCGTTCCTGAAGTAGAAAAGAATGAGAAGAAGTAGTTAGTAATTCTTTTAACCACTATAAGAGTATCAATGGCACTGCAACTCTGGATAATCCTTTTTTTAAAATTCTTATCTATCTTTTCCACTAGTTCTCAGTACCGTGTGACATAGATAAATGTTCCTCTCCTTTAGCCACTGAAAAAATCAAGAAATGAATCCCAAAATACGTCACATCTTCACTCACTCATAAACAACCAAATAACCAACACCTGAAAATTCCACTAGCGTTATCTTTCCAACACAAATCCTGCTTAAAAACAAAACAAAATTATTCTGGCTGTCCATTATCTGAAAAAGTGACTAACACTCAGTGGTAGATCTCTGTTTGTGGGATTGGTCAGGAGCAGGATGTAAACATCTGATTACCTCATGTTGGGAGTTGGTCTAACTCCTGTCCTTAGTTATGGAGGCAATGTCCTGCTGGGCAAATGTCCTCAAGTGAACATGGAAAAAAGGCTGACAACAAACAGCTTCAAGGCCAGATACTAAACATGGAATCCTAGATCACTGACGCCTGACTTTGAACTACATTTTGAAGCACATGCCTTTGCTCTTGCTATAACCTACTGGTTGTATGCCTTGGGTATACTGATCTCGTTTACATCTTTCTTGCTTTTGACGCTCTTGTCCTCTGCCCTACTTCTACCTTCGCTTGTAGTAACAATTAATTATTTTAAACTTTCAGAACTTAGTCTATTATGACAATTACTATTAAGTCAGAGTGCTTACAGGAGAGGTGTTGAAAAGAAGCTAGATACCGGAGAACTTGAAGGAAAATGTCCACAGATTTGCTGATGGATTGGATGTGGGTGTGAATGAAAGAGGAGACAAGGAAATGCTTTTTGTTTGTTGTGAACTAGAAAAGTAAGGGTATTACCTTGGACATGAAAACTTTAGGCAATTATTAGACCTTCAAAAGAAAAAAAAAAGTAAGCAGAAAGAGACATAAGCGTGGAGTCAGAGGATAGGAATGAACTAGATAAATCCATTATGGAATTGGTAGAATATGGGGATTTAAACGACAGCACAAAATAAGATAACTCAGGAAATTAATACAAGTAAATAAGAAACCCAAAGACGTAATCCTGGGGGACTCTATGTTTGTTAAGGAATCATGGGTATGAGGAGAAGGGAAAATCAGTGCAGTGACTGGCAAGAAGAAAAGGGACCAAGAATCAAGAGGAGGAATAGAGGAAGGTGTTTATGTCAAATGATGGTAAGAGGTCATGTTGAATTTATGAAGGTAAAAATTACTTATGTCCTTGACAAAAGTTGTTGAGTGGAGAGGTAGGGTAAGGGCATGGACATTCTAGTTTTTGGGTGACTTCAACAGTGAAAAGGGTGAAAGTGAAGAAACAACAAATGTAAATAACTCTTTATTTCCTCCCCCCCAGCCCCCCAAGAAGTCCTGCTGTAAAGGGAAGCAGAACAGGAAAGAGCTGGACAATCATACTCATGGTGCTTGCGTACATTCCAGCTCCTAATTACCCTATGGAGCAGCCACAGTCACAACAGATGCAATGTGCATGCAGGTAGTTAACACAAATGAATTTCCCAGTACTTTGTAAACAAGCCAAGGAATGGGGCTACTATTGTATTATCATTAATAATAGTACTAACAGCATTGGAGTTCTAGTGGAGCTGGCCTGCTAACCAGAAGGTGGGCAGTTCGAAATCACCAGCTGCTCCACAGAACTCCAGTAGAGTCACAATCTTGGAAAGCCACAGGGGCAGGGAGAGCTACACTCTCAGAAACTCATCCTGTCCTATAGGGTCGCTATGAGTTGGAGTTGACTTGATGGCAGTGGGTGTCATCATCTCCATCCTCAGCCTCAACACAATAACCTCAAAGTGGGTACTTCCTGGAAGCTGCACGAGTTACAGGAACAGAACTCTGTAGTTGTCAGGTTTGGAGAATTAGATTTGGAAAACAATCTAAAAAGAGGGCACGACTAGAATTTCAGTACGTTCACTGTAAAGAAATAAAAACCTTCGCGCACCCCCCCCCACCCTCTTGAAGAGAGTGAACTATTCACAAAACAATGCTGAAGTATATACTCGAGTATAAGCCCACCCGAATATCAGCCGAGGCACCCAATTTTACACACACACCCCCCCCCAAAAAAAAAACTGCATAGGGGGAGCGGGGAGGGAAGGGAAAAAATGAGGAGCTGATGCCAAGGGCTTAGGTGGAGAGCAAATGTTTTGAGAACGATGAGGGCAATGAATGTACAAACGTGCTTTACACAATTGATGTATGTACTGTGATAGAGTTGTATGAGCTCCTAATAAAACAATTTTTTTAACTGCATAAAAAATGTGATGGAAAAGTCGGTTTATACTCAAGTATATACGGTTAGCTAATTCTATGTTACCCTATTAGGTCACTACTTTCTAAAATCAGAAGAAGAAAAAATCCCTTTAAAACGGGGTTTCAAATGCTGCCAGACAAGCAGCACATTCTGCTCACCTTGCCGTATTTTTCAAGCTCAGTGAAATAAGACCTAAAAGGTGAACCATCTCTCTTTCCTTCTTTTTTTAAAAAGAAAAGATTCTTCTGATGAAACATGTCTGGGGCAGTGCCTGATATATTATACACCCAACAAATAACTGCTAATAAACCAGGAAGACAAAGATAATTTCAATTAATTGGGCTTGAGCACAATTAATAAAACATCAAACTGTCTTCTAAATTGTAAACCCCAGCAAAGGGAGGCTTCTGTTCTACCACACAGCACATCTATTTTATAAATCAGTCAAACTTCTTATATAGTAAGGGCATTACAAACATTTTATTCTATTAAAATTCTGAGTACCTTTGCATACCACATCAATTAAGCAAGTTACTTAACCTCTGGACCTCACAAAATGAAGGATGGATCAATCACCTAGCTTTGTAAAAAAGCTTCATCAAGGACACCCAATCAAAGTACCTAGTTGATTGTGAATGGTTGGTTTTGCACTCCAGTCAGAGTTGAAGAGTTGAGGCAGAGACACATGGCCTACAAAGCCCAAAGAATTTACTAAATGGCCCTTCACAGAAAAGGTTTGCTGGTGTTCAGTGGTTCCCACACCACATTCTATATACAATATCACACTGTGTGAGAGTTAGGTTTTGGGTCAACTCGGCTGGGCCAGTATTTTCAGTGCTTTGGTAATTAAGGTCTTGTAATCGCTCACGATGTGACTTCACATAATGTGATCAACTCTAAGATGAAATTGGCTGGGTGGAGTGCAACCCTTTATTCAGATCACAGCCATGATGCAATTGAAAGAAAGGTTTCTTGGGGGTGTGGCCTACTTCCTAGAGAAGCAGATACTGTGGGAAAGCCTGTTGCTTTTTGCTTGGTCTGGATCCTGCAGCAGGCTCATAAACATCTGGTTATTTGTACTACAGCAAGCCATCACAAGTCTGCCATTTAACCTGCTGACCTTGGACTCAGTCACCTCTCCAGTCATCAGCCTGACCTGCTGACCTTGGATTCACCAACCCATAAAGCTCTGCAAGTTGGGAGAACCTTCCAGCTTAGCATCTGACCCCACTTGGAACCTGCCCAGACTTGTTCTGGCCCACTTCTACAAACATGAGTCATTTTCTTGACATAAATTTCTCTCTATATACACATACAAAAGTGCCACTAGTCTTGCCTCTCTGAAGAACTCAGCCCAGCACACAGGTAGGACACATACTGACCAACTCAATGGCACTTAACGACAACACATATTATTTGAAATGTTAAATTATTAATCATTGATTACTTTTACAATGAAATGGATTATTTTAAAATAGGTTTTCTAATTTGGGGGTAATACTGCTTTATTTTAGGTGCCGGGTTCTCTGATGATATGTCCAGCACACAGATTGAATAAGAGAATACAAACCTGACACACGCCTTTCCTGACAAACCATGCTGAGCAAACCACCAGAGAAACTGGCTTATATGAAGAAGAATGAGCATCAGGTTTGGAGGAAGGCTTCGTTAACAGTCTACGACATACAGATGGCACAACTCACTGGCCGAAAGTGAGGAGGGCCTTGAAGCACTTAAAACACCTGACAATGAAAATGAAGGATTGCCGCTTCAGTATGGATCACAACTCAATGTAAAGAAGACTGAAATCCTCATAACTGGTCCACTGGATAACATCACGATGAATGGAGAAGAGGCTGAAGTTGTCAAGGATTTTGTCGTGCTGGGATCCACAATCAATGTTCATGGAAGCAGCAGCCAAGAGAGCAAAAGATGAGTTGCATTGGGTAAATCTGCTGCACCAGACCTCTTTAGAGTGTTAAAAGCAAAGACGTTACTTTGAGGACTAAGGTGCCATGGTATTTTCAATTGTTTTATAAGCAATGTGAACGTTGGACATTGAATAGGGAAGACCGAAGAACCGACATGTTTGAACTGTAGTGCAGGTGAAGAATACTGAAAGTACCACAGACTGCTAAAACGACAAATGAGTCTATCTTGGAGGAAGTACAGTCATGCTCCTTTAACAAGACAGCAGGACTTTGGCTTACACGCTTTAGAGATGCCAGGAGAGACCAGTACACGAAGAAAGACAACATCGGTGGTAAAGCAGAGGGACAACAAAAAAGAGGAAGGCCCTCAAGGAGCTGGATTAGCACCATGGCTGCATCGACGCACTCAAAGCAAATGAACGATTGTGTGGTTGGCACAGTACCCGGTAGTATTACTCTGCTGTGCAGCACAGGGTCACTGTGAGAAAGATCTGATTCCATGGTACCTACAAACAACAACAACTAGGTGGCAAGTTGCCCATTTTATGAGTATTAGACTGTGCATGATAATTTCTTGGGGAAGAAAGACTATCCAGAACAGAGAAAAGATATCTATAATACCTGAGGTACTACTGCACCTCAGTGTACTACTTTTCCATAAAAATAAAGAAATATCAATAAAGTCATCCTTTAGATGTGTGATCACAACCTTAATTTGTTCCCCACTTTGCTGTGTGAAAGACTCTTGAGTTGTTTGAGGTTTTGTTTTTGTTTTTCCTGCATCTAAATCTGCATGATTTCCAAACCCTGTACCATCTGAATTTTGCATTTTAGCACTTGCACTGTTACTCTGCAGCAGTAACATGGTAGTACTTAAAATGGTATTCAGGGAGCTCCACAGACTTAACTGGAGATCCAGCCTCCAAGGAACCCAGGGGTAAGTTAACTCGTCAACGGCATGGCTTTAATCCTGTAGTATTAAATTAAAATGGCGAAGAGGTGGGGGGCCAGCCCCCACCGCTAATCGCAGGTTCAGTAATGCACAATTGTTTGGTTGAGATATATAAGCATTATATTAAAGTCATCGTGAGCATGAGAGATAATACAATAATACAGTTAGACATATTACATGGTAGCATTGCTCACCTCTGCCCTGCTTGGTGGTCCTCGTGGGGGAGAACCTGGCCACCAGAGCAGGAGCAGCTGCCTCCTTCGCGGGAGCAGCCGCCCTCGTCCACCTCCCTCATGGGAGCCACCCTGAGAACCAGGGAGCCTTCTTATTTGTCGCTAACCACGCATCATATCACTTTAGGGGGATACATCACAGCATCATGCATCACAGAGAGGGGCAATACAATTCACAACAACCTGCGTCATAGGGAGGGGTTGCAACATAGGCAATACAAGCAATAGGAGGGGGATGACCTAGTCATCTTAGAGTGGTCCCGGGCTTGCCTTTGGGCACTACTTCAAGGGAACAATGTCAGAAGGGAATGGGCCCTATTTGGGGTGGGATAAGCAGTGGTGTCTGCTTGATCTAGACAGCTGATAACCTCTCAGTGAGAATGACTCCCAATCCACTCTTGATGGCTAATGTTAAGGAGAATAACCTCTGACCTACTTTGGCTGACCGCCTAGTGAACAGTCATTCTCAAGCTAAATCTGGCATATATTTTGGGGAGACAACTTAAGAGAAATCCTTCTGTTCCCCACATTAATCCCTTCTTTACACTTGTGTAAACATTAGTCTCCAGTCAGAGAAGGTTTTCAATGTTGTCTTTGATTAATGTGTTTATGGTACTACATTGCAATGGGTATTTATTCTACCCTTTTCAAAGTAAATAGAAGTTTAGAAGTAGTTCAACTATTTAGCAAAAAGTTGTTTTAAAAGTCTTATCTGATCATCTAAATGCATTCATTCTAACATTTTGAACCAGTTAAATAAAAAGTTTTGTTGTCACCACAAAAAAATAAAATAAAAATAAAGAAATATAGTCTATGTATAATAGAAATAGAGCCAAAATGTTTAAATAATGTATATACCAACCTGTGAATTATTTCCCTTCTAATAAAGTACTCTAAGGAGTCCTGGTGGTGCTGTTGTTTCTAAGCGTTGGAGTTACGAACTGCAAGGTCAATGGTTCAAACTCAACCAGCCCCCCATGGGAGAAAGATGAAACTAAACTGCTTCCTTAAAGATTTACAGCCTCAGAGACCGTATCCAGGGTCTTTATGAGTTTGTATCCACTCCATGGCAGTGGCCACTCCTTATCTAGAAATTCTTGTGTAGTGGCAAAGGACAAGATGCTCAGTTGCAAAGTAAAAGATTAGAGATGCAGTCTATACAACGTTGCCTGGAATGAAATGCTTGGTGATCTTATTTCAGAAAAATCAACCCTTGAAAACCCTACGGAGCACAGCTTACTCTGAGACGCAAAGGACTGCCATGTGTAAAGTCAGCTGGTTAGTTGGTACACAGATTTATGTAGTTCCATAAATACGATTTCAGTAGGATGAAGAGCAATAGAGAGGGTCGGCAAAGAACGGTTTTAAAAAGAATTTTAATGATGAGAATTTTGAGTCAATTATATAAATAATAAAATGTATAAACATACAGAGGACTAGAATTTACTGAGATACCGTTGAAAATTATTTTGTGAATTAAAAGGCAACTGCATTCGCTTTGCAAATTTGAAATTGAGAGAGATATTGTCAATTTTGTGTGTTTACTCTGACAGAGATCATCTCATTTTATAGTTTTATTATTCAATAAGTTCTAAGTACGCCACCAACCATTCTTACACAAGTGATTTTAACTGGAGTGACGGTTTCAAAATAAGGATTGATGCAAAGGCATTCCAATTAGATTAAACTATGGGTTCAAACTAAGGGCAATGGGTACATGAGAGCATACAAGAGTACTGGCAATGTTTTCTATCAAGAGTGGTGAAAGTAAGCTTTATTTTATTTTAAAATTCACAAATATCAGAAATGAGTCCAACCCCTTTGACAAAGGGCCCAAAAACATTAAATGGAAGAGATATTGCCTCTTCAACAAATGATGCTGGCAGAAGAATGAAACACGACCCATGCCTCACCCCATATACATAAGCAAATTCAATATGGATCAGAGACCTAAATGTGAAGCCCAGAGCTATTAAGATCATCAAAGAGAAAGCAGGGATAAATTTAAGGGCCCTAGTGAAGAGCAAAGACATACTACCAAATATATTTAAAGAAAACACACAAATACACGATCATTTTGCTTTGAAAATGTCAATTATTTCATAGTAAAAATTACCACTTAATAAAATGATTTAAATAAACACCTATATTGAGATATTCAATTAGGCTACACTGTATTACTTTAAGATGGCAGTTTCACAAGGCAGTACTGACAAATCTTTCCCCCACCACCATTGCATTTTCTGTGAACATTTACACAGCAAATCAGGTTCCCATTTGAAAATTTTTAATCAAGGTGCTCAGTGACATGAGTTAAATTTTTCACTGTCAACATTTCATGGCATTCTGGTTGTTCCATTTCCAGCACTCTAGTTTCCCTGCCCATTTTCTTTTCATCTGTACTTTAGAGAAATTGTTGACCTTTTGGTCACGAAAGAGAGCACACGCTTTTCTCTTCTCTAAACAATGGGAAATGGGATAACACTTGGCTGCCTTGCCTATTTCACTTCAAAAGTGAAGAAAGCTTTCTTGGATCAATTTAATACCTTTGATGCTGCTCTAAAGGTTCTTCATTGGACCAATAAATCTTCATGTGAAGAAATTGGCTAGTGAATGCAGGTTTATTTAAACAGGTAAGCTATAAATGTTTACCTTTAAAAGAACAATATGAAATTAAAAATTTTTGTTGGTAGTTTATAAAATTTTTCTCATATTTCAGCCCTTATTATACACTTTCCATGGTATAAAGCAAATGTGTAGCATACGGTGCAAATTTGTTGAATAAAGTAAGTAATTCTATTACTCCTTGGAGTTCAGTATTGGCCCACACACCAAGTACAGGCTTGGCATTTGCTTCTGTACATTATGTTCACCAAGTTATATTCAATGACTGAATGTCTATTTCCCAAGCGCCTGTCAGTCACTGTGTTCTAGAGCAGTGGAATGGTGTAGTGACCGGCACCCCCCCCAGCCACAAAATTATTTTCGTTGCTACTTCATAACTATAATTTAGCTATTGTTATGAAACAGGCTTGGGGTTGTTGGACCCCCCAGAGGGGTCACGACCCACAGGTTGAGGCTGCTGTTCTAGATGCTGAAGATATGGCTGCAAAGAAAACAAACAAACATCCCTGCTGTCAGGGCTTTTACAGTCTAAAGGGAAAAGGAACCTGGTGATCCTGGTGCCACTGAGTGCATGGCAACCCGGAGTGCACCCGGGCAGGTCGGAGTAGAACTGAGCTACACAGGATTTTCAAAGTTTGACCTTTTACAAACAGACCACTAGGCCTTTTTTCTGAGCTACCTCTGGGGAGCTTCAAACTTCCAGCTTTACAATGAGCAGTTGAGCACTTAACCATCTCCGCCACCTGGGGGCTCACTCTAAGATGTTAGGTGGTGAAGAAAACGAGAACATGGCTGAGAGATACCCTAAATATATGCCATTGGCAGAAATGTAGGCCATGGTCGCTGGTTAGCAGATTTACAACTCCAAGATGTGAGCTCTTTTCCAGCAGAACACCAGCCTCTTCTGCAGAGGCTGCCCTCTAAGTCCTTCATTACATGACATTCTCTGAAAGGCAACTTAAGGGGGAGAATTTTTGTTAACACTGGAAAAACAAAACAAAATTCCTTCACAACACTAGATATCATTATCCAACCTGACCCACCGCACAACCAAATAAAAGAGACACAGCAGTCTAGCAGAACCGGCTTGATTTTCTGACTTACCGTAAGCACTGGGGAAGTCCCCAGGTCCTGGTCCAGGATAAAAAGGGCCTGGCCCTGGCGGCTGAACTGGATACTGTTGTGGTGGCCCAACATAAGGAGGGCCGCTATGACGGTACTAGAACATAAAAAATGCACACACTTAATAAAGAATATGAATGAAAGTTAGCGTGTAGAATATTGCTTATTTATTCAGAAATAAAATTGTGTATTTGTGTTTCTAAGAGAATAATTTACATGAAATGAATGAGTTTGATCAAACACATTTAAAATGCTTGCTTGCCAGTAAAATACAATGAGGATGAAGAGAAAGATGTGCCAGGCAAAGCCATTCAGCAAATCAATGCACAGACATCAGCTCATTGTAAAATTATTTCTAGTTGGTAGCTTTCAATGACATTAAAGGACGTAAGAGGAAGAACATAGTTACTAATTCCACTTTAGAGCAGGTAGTTGTGGGGGAGGGGTTGAGAAGGGCTGCATTTAAAAAAAAAAAATCTCTACTACCATAGAAGTTAAAGAGATATAGAAACAGTTCTATACAATATTATGGAAAACGATTGAATGGCTAGACTTCAAACTTTCAAAAATGTCTACACATTACCCCAAACCACTGCTATCATCCACCCCCCCTGCTCCTTGCGATAAGATTATGAGCTGATTCCCACTCTATGAGTTGGCCACATGGGCATGGGATACGTTACCTGCGGAATACAGTACTGTGGACCCTGGGGCACTGGGTACGGCATGGGCAGATGGTTAACCATCATGATGTGCTGATTGGCCTGATACACTGCAGTGGGGGTCTGTGCACCAGGACGAATGGAAGGGCTGCTGTTCGGGATGGTAGCTCTAGGAGGCTGTATTTGAGGCCTCTGGAAAAACTGGGAAGGGGAGAAAAATATGTGTATATATATATGTATATATATATAGTTTGTTTTTCAAAGGGGAATAAATAAATGTTTACATTCCCCTTTTTCTCTACTAATAAAAATTTGGTAACTTTGATTTAGAAACACAGTATGCACAAAAAGTACTGGGATCGTGGGAAACATTCCATGCTAAGTCAAGGCTGATCAGTGTCACCACACGTTGAAAACAGCAGGGCATTTTCAACTGTTACATAACGAAGCCTCAGCGGTGTTAAAGGAAGCATTCTCTTGCGTAACTATTAACTTCTAAAACCTATGACAAAATACAACAAAAGGGATAGCTGGCATCTTTCTCAAAATTGTTCTGATGCATAAAAGCATCAACTTTTTCAGAAAGAGGAGATGGTTCCTTATCAGTTTATTAAAAGTAGTCCTCCCTCAAGCTATGTGTAAAATACTCCAAAGGGCAAGAAAATATCTTTAGACATAAAAATTTTCATTCCAGTCCGTCAGAAATGAATTTTGTTTAGTCCAAGGTAAACTAAACTCATTTCCAAAATTGTCACATGCCTTCCTTTTCAAATAAGGTAGGACCCCCATATTAGACAGAAGCCATAGTAAACAGATTTTGATTTCTAGAACAGTTTTGAAAAAAAAAAAGAAAAAAAAGCAGAGAATCTCCACAGGCCTAGGGATAGTCTGGAATGAGAATGGCTCAAATCTCAAATGGCCGAAGTTGCAAACAGCTAATACCTGTGATTACCCATAGTTCACACTGTAGGCTTAAAAGCCTTGAAACAATCTACCAGTAGTGAATTTCCAATACGAATGTATCAATTCGGCAGCAAATAATAAATCTCGCTGTAATAATAATATAGGGAATAAGAGTAAGAATGAGGCCATGCAGAACCAGTGTTAGTTACCTGAATGGGTCTGAATCCTCCCTTCAATTATGAAGCCAGAAAGCAGCAGGAAACAAAGAAAGCCAATGGGACAGCTTACAGATCAGTAGGAAGGAGTAGGACATAGCATGCGACTCAACAAACTATCTACTTAGCACTAATAGGAAAGAACAGATGAGAGGCTAGGAAAGCAGAGTGACTATCCTCCCCTTGAGAACTCAAGGGCACAGGGGGTCAAGAGATTAAATCACATTACAAACTAATAAATCCAATAGCACAATCTTCTAATAGTAGCCACAAATGATAATAACTAGAAAGGCAATGTCCGCGTGCGGCCTAAGTGCAGCTGGGGCTGCTAACTCCTACTCTGGGCTCTCGGTCTGAGTCAGAGATGACTCGCTGACAGTGGATGGTGGGCTTATGGGCACTCATTATGCATTATGGAATTTGACATTACTTGCTTAGCATCTCTAGGACCCAATCTCCATCTTGAGTGAAGCTAAGCTTTAATAATCATAAAATCCCATGGAAATTTTAAAGTTTGCAAAAGGGCTGAGAAATAGCTAAGTTTTTACCACCTACCAGACTCTGTGGTAGAACTTGCTTTTCTCGATAAGCAAACATATAAGAGGTCACTTATCTATCTTAAGTAGAATAACTGTCTAAAATATGCCCTAGCTCCACTCTCCTGGGTTGTTTCACAAGTCCAGATATTGGGTTGCAACTGGTCCAAATCAAGACCAGGCTGAGCTTTTAACCTCTGGGCTTATATTCAGGTCTTTCTTATCCTACCCTTCTCAGTTGCACTACCAGGGAGTACTTTTTCATTCTGTGCTGAAGCAGGAGAATTGAGAATTGGTGCCCAGGGTTCAGCCCCATTCACCCTTCATACCCCAGGACAAAGAAAGCCCTCACAGAGGAGCAGCAGGCAGAAGGAGACAGCAGGAGAAAGGAGTGACGAGGGGTGCACGGAGAGCAGCTGATGACAACGAGGAGAAAGGCACAGGCGGCAAAGTTGAGAACACGGGAGTCTGGGCTGGGACACAGCTACAGTAGACTTGCCATGGTCTCCACGGACACAATTTTAGTGGCACAGCCAAGAAGCTCAGTTGATTGCAAACAGGAACACCGAGGTATTAAACTTTCCATCAACTGCACTAAACTCTTAATCATACAGCAAATAGAATTTATTATACATCAATACATGTGAATTTTAAGTACCTTTTAGGGATAAAGTTGCTATCCTTTTCATAATTTGGTTAATTTATCAGGAGCTACACAAATGTCAAAGGCCTCCAGAGCCAAGAGAGGTGTTTATCTGTTCCACTTCCTAAGCACTACTAGATGTCAGATAGCTAATAAAGATGAATATTGTAGGACTTTTCCCATCAACTCTAGAGGGCAGTCTAGACAGACAAAGAGACTCACACCAACACAGGTAATGATCTACTGTGGTTATATTAAAATACAATTATGTCAGCACACTTACATATTGGCTGAAGAGACATGGTATTATATGTAGAGAAAGGTAACTTCATTTTTAAAATTTATGCAGAGTAAGAAAAATAGGTGAGGTTCAATAGGGCAAAGTTCTCCCACAATTTAAGTTGATTAAATGTGAGTACTTTTCTTACCACTCCCCACCCCCACCCCCCAATTATGCTGCTGGAATTTTTAACCAGCCTGTCCTGAGTAAAATGCATCTTGGTCAAGGAGGTTTCTGCAGAGGATAAAAATGTTTTCTTCGATGACTTTAAAACACAAGCAAATATTTGGGTTTCTGATGGTGATACCAATATACAACTAAGCTAGTAAAGCACAAACAGTGTATTCATACAACTCAAAATTGTTATAAACAAAACAAAAACCCCTAACACTTCAACCTTGAAGTTATGTAGGAATATATCTACAAAGACACACTCAGTAATGATAATGCAGACGTCTATAGCACTTCCTACCAAATGGGCACCATTCTAAGCGGTCTCTTTTAAATTAACCCCTCTTCACAACAAACGTGTGTGTCCAGTACTCTTATTCACACTGTCGTCTGATGTAAGAGGAAAGTCAGGAACAAGGAGAAGAAATAACTTGCTCAAGCCCCGTAATTCACAGAATCAGGTTCTAAACCTGTAGTCCAAACTGTTACACCTACTGTCTCTCATGAAATGGAATGCTCTGTGTGTTTAAGCAAGGGTCACCAATCAGAAGAAAGACAGGTCCTTTAATGGGTCCACTCCCTACGGATGCCACATCTCACACAATACAAACTGCACCTTAGTAAGAAAAACGCTGCATCAGTTAGTTCACAAAACTTATGTTTGGCATCCAGAAAGCAAATCTCTTCTGCCTACAAGCCTGCATCCTCCATCACCTGATAACAACTGACGTTTGTTCACGTCAATATCCGTGGCACATTTTTGTTAAGTCTTACAGAACTAATGTTCTTTACAAGTTATCTGGAACTTGGTTCCCGCCCCCCCTCTAAAATGCATTCACATACTGTATGCAACAAGAGGGTGCAACATTAACAGGACTGGAAAGGCTGTAATAGCTAAAAATGCAAAGAAATAAAATAGATGGATTCTTTTTTTTTTATTTACTTCTCAACCATTCTATTGTAAATGAAGATACCGATTTAATAATGGTGCAGGAAATTCAGATTCTCAGATGTGTGGCCACGGCAGCAAACCATAGGTGATTAAAAGGTATGTGTGAATGGATTTTCTAAAACTGCTTGCAATTCTTATGAATCCCGTCTCCTTTCTGCTGAGTGATGACAAATCATTAAAAGATTCAAACTCTGTCCTAGATGAAAGGACTGTACTGGACATTTAGCCTAACCGTTTACCTAAAATTTGAATCTCTCCTATGACATGCCCTCGGGGTTCTGAAACGTTAGCAACTTTAGACACAGCTTTATTTCATGGATCAGCAGAGTTCTGGCACTGCAAGATCTTTCTTTCTACTGGCTCTAAAATGTTCTCTCTGTATCAATGTCTAGCTTGAAACAACATGGAAGTTCAATTCTTTTTCACGAAGTGGCAGGCCTCGAAGTATTCTGAAGACCTCCATCCCTTGCTACCTTTCAGACCACTGTCCAGTTTTTCTTCCAAACCATTCACTGCCCTTTCACCCCACGTCAGCTTGCTCCTGTTTCTCAGTCCAATTCCACTGCTCACTGTTCAAGAAGTAGAGAATGAAACTGACAGGAATGAACTTGGCATTCATTCAAAATGTACTTGTTGATGATAAATGGGCACTATACACCTCTTATTCTTGCTGCTAACATTCATAAAAAGGAAGAATCACGGGAGAACTTTTGTCATGGCTGATTGGTATTGAGAGCACAGTCATTGAAAACCCTGAAATAAAAAAAAATTAAAAACCCCGAAATTATCCTTATATGTAAGCTACCAAGCAATACAAGTTTTGCTCTAAAATCCTGTAAGTACTCTTACAGTTTTGTTTTGAAGCCCAGATGAGGAATCTTGTAGTTTTGTTTCTTTGAAAACGCATCTACCTAAATTCAACGTATCATTTCAGATTTTGGGGGAGTTTGATTATATCATGTAATGTGAAAAATAGACAACCATCAGCAAATCTGACAGGCATGCCATTTATCCAATTCACTGATAAAAATGTTGAGGAGGGCTAGATAGAGAAAAGAGAATTAATTGATTAATTCTGTTTCAAGTCTTTTTCAAGGTTCACTGGTATGTCAGGCGAATGACAGAGGAAGGCGGCGGGCCTCATCTGAGTAGCACTGTGGGTACCTCCAAGGGGCCTAGAAAACACTTAAAACACAGGCTAACCTAAGGGTGCTCATAATTACTAACTTGCACGGAAATGCTCTAAAAGCAGAAGAAAATTGCTTCCTTGAGGAAAATTCTACAAAAGACATATTAAATACTATTTCCTAAAGCTTCTTAGCCAATAATATTAATAATAAATGGTCTTAAGATGTTAATTACAATGTATCATTTTGTTTGACTTTGTTAGCTGAAATCATAAAAAGACAAAGATGTCTTTAAAAGTTGCACAGAAAACAGAAATTCTTTAAAAATCAACTCTTCATTTTCAACAACTAGATAATCCTATACATTCATACTAGCTCTCCAACACAGAAAAAAAGGTCCTGATTGCTTACCTGCAAAGCAATAAAAACCACAGAAAATATGCTTGTGAAATCCTTAGCTGTTTATAGAATATAGTTCAACCTACTGGAGGGATGAATGGTAAGATTTGGAATTGCTTGCATAAGATTTTTGTGTGTGTATGAATTATCTTTATAAATTCTAAAATACTCTTGAGAAATAGGGTAGTGCTGTGATTCTCTGACATGCAGTCAAAAGCCCATGTAAGAGGATCTCACTCAGGTATCACTCACATGTTCTGCTAACTCACAACAATTTACAATGAAGATTTATTCTATTCTTTGTTTCCCTGCATATAGTCAATATATAAGTTACATTTCTCTAAAAATCAAGAGACATAAGCCCTAGAGCCGAGCTGTCCAACACAGTAGCTACTAGCCATATGTGGCTTCTTTAAATTAAGACTTGAATTTCTCAGTTACACCAGTCACATCGCAAGTGCTCAATAGTCATATGTGGCTAATGACTATCAAATTGGAACCACAGATACAGAACATTCCTACCATCACAGAAAGTTCTATTAGACAGCACTGCCCTAGAGAATTATGTCAGATGGAGGAAAGCTAGCCCTACAGAGTCTGTCAGGAACAAGAAGGTATTTTGTCGGATCGCAATGTCGAGTCTGAGAAATGCGCATCCTTCTAGAACGCTTCAATCACAGCTAAAACTAAGTAGGAAAAGGGAAAGGCAGGCTAAGACTGTCTCACTGATAAAGGAGATGAACACTTTACCAAGGCACTCTGGTAGGCAGGATTCTAGTATTCAAAACAAGCCTAGAAATAAGACCTGAATATTATTTAATTCATAAGCCTATTCTAGTCATCTCTTAGATAAGAAAACTGAGGCCCAGAGTGCGTTTCTAGAGAAGCCGAGATTGAATCTCGGTTA